CAAAAGATGAGTTAATGTAATTTTTGTATCTATAAATATTTTCATTTCCAAACATTTGTGTCAATTGATATTTTAGTTACGTATATTATACGTATATCTTGTATATATATATGTGTGTGTGTGTGTAATTTTTTATATTTTATACGGATACGTGTTAGCGCAATAGAAACATGCTAAATTTCTATAAAAAATCAGTAAGAATTTGTAGATAATTATTTATTATTTATTAAACGTTTATCGTTATATATTTCTAAATACTTGTTTCCATATATTTTTGATTTTAAAACCTTATATTAGGTTTTATAATTTCATCATGGTCCGTTCATCTTTGTGAAATGTGTCATTTCATGACAACAGTGGAATTTTGTATTGGCTAGAAACACTCATGGATACATTTATCATTTGTCTCTAGAAGGAAATGACGATAATCAGCAAGCATTACATACCACCTAACCTGCGTCCTTCTTAGTTTCTCTGGGCCTCTAGAGAAATACAGCTGCCAATATGCTGATGCTGATTAGATCATACAGATCAGCTTTCTCTAAACGTTTCAGCAACAGTTGCTAAATTTGCTGTATAATGAATTGGATCGCAGAAAATTCCATACAGGCCATTCTCTCTTCTGGTGGCCTCCATTTTCCTTCCGGAGCCGGCCGTTGTTTGTGGGTTATGTTAAGTGGGTATTGCTCCAGTATCACCGGATGATAAGATCTATGTCACGGCCTATATGCAGATCTTCCTATAGTTTTCAAATTAATGTAAGCTGTTTCCTGAAGTTCAGGAATTGAGCAAATTGGTGTCTCTAGTTCTCGATGCTACTCGATGTTCTTCTCAGTCCGTGCTCTTACTTGCGGTAGTTGGCGATTTTCATTTCATGGGCTTATAGAAATTAGATTAGCGCTCCATCTATAAGATAGCTGTTACTATAAAATCTTCGTGATAATGTCAATCATAAAAAGCTTATGGACTAATACTAAAACAGGACGAAGAACTTCAAAATTTATACCAAATGTTTCAACTAAATTGATATCATCGTGCTTTACGATTACAACATTTTTAACTGGATATGGTCCATTTATATCATATTTAAACAGATTTAAACTCATAGATACTGGCATTAGTAAGTATGGTAAAATGGGAAGTCCGACTATTGTGCTTTTGAATGTGAATTTATAAAAGAGCATTACTTAAATAAACCGTTAACTCAATACTGAAAGAAATGGACCCAACACATGTTCAAACATTCTGCTTTATATAATAAACTTTCAAAAACAATAGAATACTGTATCAATCATAACAAATAAATTCAACAGCTATTTTTATCAACAAATTTCGTTTTGAATCCATTATATACTTTTTTATTATTTATTTCATATATATTCAAAATTAACTAAATTCCATAATCATTTATAAAAAGACTATAATATTCAGACTAGATCTAAATTGAAACTAGAACTTATTTGTTTTATATTAATCAACCGAGACCCTCTGAAATTACGATGATTTGAAACATCGGACTTTATGTACGAAATCTTTGATCAAAAGAACTTAGAACTTCAGAACTTTACATCTCAGCAACTTTTGATCTATTGAACTTTATTCAACTATAGAACTTTCACTCATTCTTGAACTATTGAAATTTATTAAAATCAAATTGAAATGTATATTAAAATTTAGCTCAGCATAGCATGTAAATGCAAAGAAGACTGTTAAAAACTTTCACTGTCATGTAAAAATATTCATTGTAAAAAAGGATCGTTTGAATAAATAATCTACATTGGGTGGGCTTTTTCGGTTAGGTAACCAGTGGTGTAAAGGTAAAAGAGTCATAAAAAGGAGTAGAATGCCTTCAGAAAATCAGGGTAAACATTACCTACCACCTAATTGAAAGCAGGGTCACAAGGTGTAAACTTTGTATACAGAGGAGGGGGGTTCACATACCCTATTAATGTCCTTTTTTTCATTTTATGCTGTTTATTTTCACTTTATACATAATTCTGTTTAAGTCTCCAGTATTCCATTACCTGATAACTTACACAAATTTAATATTGTTTTCATTTCTGTATATAATTACTGATTTTTTTTATGCATAAATACATATACTACTTTCCTGCTGAATTTTGTGTCAATCAAAGCAGTATTTATTGATTTTTTTGCATTTTACACCTTCGTACTTAACTTTTGGAAGTGAGTGTACTTTGTATTGCGGTACACAGTTTAAGGCAGTTCTGCCATTGTTCGATTATGAAGTTACAATTATCTAAACTATACTAACTGGATAAGAGTTGTGCCTGCCGATGTTTTTTCGATACTGACACATGTAATGCACGATGCGTTCATTAAGTTTTCACATCTTTATGAGTTAGTGTACTTATAAGAGATCAAGGAGCATTTATGATGATTCTGGGCGCCTTGTTTCACCCTTTTTTCCGTGGTTACGTTTTAGTTTTTTTTCTTTCTCGCTACAGCTGCCATGCGGCGACGCAAGATAAACAACTACTGCTTGTGTTAAGGAATACACTCATCATCATTCTATATGTCTTCTCTCTAGTTAATGATGATGTGCCTATTAAACCTTAATCTATAGTACACGATTTCCCTCAGAATTTTTAAATTGGGTGAAAGTGGTATGAAAAATCATCGAAAGTGATGCCACCAATATCATCACTTGTCATATTTTTTCCTAACAATCACGATTTTGCTTTCAAATGTTTTAATTTTCTAGCAGGAAATCAACGGGATATTTTATACCACAGTTCTCAAACTGTGTTTTGCAAACATTTACTAAGGTTTCATGAAAAATTATAAAATTGAAGTTAGAGAACAATGAAACATCGCCTGCTTTTATGTACTTAACGCAACTTTTAAAAGAAACTAACTACAAAACATAAAGCAAAGTGGATTAAATAACAGGCGTAATGAATTTATAATGCACGACAACAGGTGGCTTACAATGGCAACTAAATATATGCGAAAGGTCTGTTAGTGTTTCTGTTCCATGCTAAGAAGTAAAGAAATGTTTCTGTGTTACTTTAGTCTTTTAAAAGTGTTATTTTAATTGGACTTTTAAATTCTTTTATTTTATTTTGTTTTTATAATTGGTGAGTATATATAAAATTTTTATTGATACTGACTAATAACTGTAACATTTCTTATTATTAAAAATACTGTTGCTTAAAAACTTAATATTGTTGTTTTTCGCTGCAATAATAATCATTTACATGATTTGCAGTCAATATTTCCCACAGTGCTAGGAGGACAATTCTTTTATTTGACAGATATGTGCATAGCTGGTTTCGAAACATTAATTGATCTGAAAATTAATTCCAGCGTAAAGCAAAATTTAAAGAACTGCCATTAAATGAACTTTGGATAAGTTTTGTAGGAGAATAATCTGAACTTATAAAAGTAAACTACTCGTACGTCCTTTTATGCAAACTTTCACGTTCGACGAGAGATTTTTCGTATTACATTGTAACAAAATCCAAATACAGAAACCAATATGATGCAGCATATGATATAAGAATTTGGATTTCGCACATGGTTCTCGAAATTAAAAGAGCTTGTAATTTAAGACTCAGACACACCGAAATCATTGAAGGCTAAAAATGTTAAAATTTTTCTGTATTATTTATTTTTAGTCCAAAGGGGCTTTGTCCCTGAAGAACTATGGTTTTCGTTTTGCGATTTTGCGTTGAATCACTATAAATGTCCGTTTCACATTTCAAACTATTGTCACCAAATGTTAGAGTCCTGCATTATATTTGAAGAAATTAAATAATGAAAAATCTGCATAAATGTAGGTATATTTCTCGCATTCTGATAAAACAACGGTACATAGAACCATCGAATTTTAAATGGCTTAATCCTTATACGAATATGGGCATATGGAAGACCAACTTCGAAATTTGGAATTTGTCTTATTATCGATTTCATATTTTGTAAAACTTTAACGAATTTTTTATTAACAAACTCGAGGATTTCAAAGCGAGCAATGGGAACGTTTTACGGGAAAAACATTTTTATCTCAAGCGCGTGAGTGTATCGAAAATTCTAAAGATATGCTCATTTTAAAACTATTTTGCGATATGGCTGTTGAACTGAATTTTATGGTTTAAGTGAGAAGAATGTGATATTTAATAACTAAATGTAACACACAAAATATTTAAAAAGCGCTCATTTAGACATAATTTAAAATCTGAAACCTTTCAGATTTTTTTTTAAATGTTTTGTAATGAAATCTTTTTATTTAATTGCTTTTATGTGTCTTTTTGTTTTGTAAAATTGAGAAATGAAAGAAACCGTTCCTTTCATAGCTATGATTTAAAGACCGGAATAAATGCTTATTATGTCTACCTGCATTATCATACATTATAACTAAAACCCGAAATTTTCTTTATTGTTTCTAAAAAATTTCAAAATTTAGAAAGTGTTCCCAGTTAAGAAAAGTTTGGGAAACACTGGTGTATGAAAATCAGCATGGAATTTCCTGCCAGCAATCTCTGGTTTTATGGAAACTGCCAGTAGTGCAACGGGATCTTGATATCGAGCATGCGCTTTTGCCTAGCTGGTCTGTGTTCGCAGCATCGTTTTATGATGCGCGGTCACGTGAAGTCCCATGAAATTTGGATTAATGTAGCAAAGTTATCTGAGAGAGAAAGCATACTCTTATTACACTGCCGCCACTAAAATTGCTACACCATGAGGGTGATATGGAACAAAGATCAGATTTGCATGGAAGGTAATATATGCGTAGATATGCAACTGAATGCCTCAGCGCATGCCCACAAAATAAGCTGCGAGTAATGAAATTTATATTGTGTATAAATGGGAACACTGCACATCGAATTTCACGTTTAGAAATCGCGTTTGAACATTAATTATTTGTGTAAAGGTCATGTTATGCATTGCGTAAAAAGGAGAAGCACCTAGCAACACGCATCGGAATTAGAACTGTGGCAGGATCGTTTCTGTTGTAAAAGCGGTGTATCGTTTCTCAGCAATGCTGCACATTTTGATTGGGATGCTACGATTGTCAGCGGAATATAGAATGGATCGGTCCAGGAGAGCCATACTCAACGTCATGCACGATCTCAGCGGCCTGGGGCTGAAGAGAGGACAGACATGTTTTCTACTCGGAGGTCGTATCAGAGATCTCGGATGTCTCCATATTGCACTTGAAAGATCATACAGCCACGACAAGTACCCTAAGTCAGGAGCTACCCACATGGACAATGCGGTAAGGTCTACAGCACCGCGTATCGTCAGCACAGCGAACATTGTTGCGATTTCGTCTGACGCTGCAGCAGAGAGGCACGTCTAAAGTAATGAGACGAACAAGGACACAGGACACGAAAGTGGCACCACGTCGTCTTTTCGGATGAATTCCGGTTATGTGTGCAGCATCAGAAAGGGCGCATTTGTTTATGGAGGCACCAAGGAGAAAGAATGAAATTTGTTACACTGGGGCTGTAGTTGGTTTGCTAGTATGAGATGCCACTGAGTGCAAATCCTAGTCACCTCCTATTCGCATAGTCATTTTTGTGGGCAGTCACTGGTATAGTTCTGCCGTTTTAAGGCTCGTGGTTGTGCCCTATCTTTAAGGCCTACCTGACGCCATTTATCAAGAATATGCTCTACCGCATGCTTCCCGTACTTTTTTGACCTTTTTTGATACAAATGGTGTTCTGTTGCTTCCCTGGCCAGTATATTCTCCAAATCCCTCTTCCACTGAAAACATTTGGTCAAGGGTTGCCGAAAGGCTGACACGCTATCACTCGCAGTTCGCTACGATTGATAAACTTGAGTCAACGCTGCAGGAAATAAAATACTCGTATTTATCTTTCAAGCTCATTTCAATGCTGTTTCCAGATTACAGTCGTGGTTGCCGCCTGAGGTCGCAAGTCTATGTACCTCAAAGCATCTGCAAATTTAATCATACTTTCCTCTAGTTGTATTATATAATATATGCATAATTAATAAAATTCTATTTGCTTTCCTTTCTTGTGCAGAAAAAAGAGGCCCACCAGCGGCCGAGCGGTAAAGACGCTGAACACTGGTAGTTCGGTCCGAGGTTCGAATCCCGCGAACGGGCTGGCTGCATGGGCGTTTTCGTGGTTTTCCCCATGTGTAACGTGTATACGAGCCAGTTTCCCTTAGAAAGTCCTCCACGAAAGGCATCCCTCCCCTTAGGCAGATAGCCCTAGTGTGCTTTGCCATAATTAAAAACACCAAAAAATTCTTGTGCAGAACTTTTAATAGCCAGTAATGACCAGTAGTGTATTTACATAGATTGGTGGTTTGATTCGGAAGGAGGAAAAGACATTTTCAAATATTTTGCGCGTATTTGTTTTTGAGAAAAAAACGCACATTGGCGATATTGTTGTAAATCTGACAGCATTATTTATTAAATATCGAGCATATATTTATTATGGTAATTACAAAATTCATACTTTTTCGTTAAAATTAATAAAGTTTTGTTAAAACTGTATCAGTCTTTTATTATTTGCAGGTTTCGGAGTGGCATTGGCTACCACGTTATTTCAATAGTCGTAAATCACATATTCTTGAAGAAACCGTGCAGTGCTTCGGGATTGCCCTTTCAGGAGCATGCATTGGAGCCTTTCTTTTCCCTATATTGATAGAATACTTATTAATAAATGTAGGATTGTCAGGAACCTTTCTTCTCTCTGGAGGTATTATTATGCATGCTCTACCAGCATCCCTTATGATAAAGGAACCACCATGGATCAAACGAAATATTAAACAGCAGGAAGAACCTGCGATTCCAAATAAAACTTCATGTACGAAAGCAAAATCTACTTATTATTCTCAAACGATGTCTATAATATGTAAAGAAACACGAAACGGTATTTATGTTGTTGACGCAAAAATTAATTCATAGGAATCATCCGGAACTTATAAAGCAAAGATTTCAGAGGACCAGTTTTTTCAGACGTGTAATATGGATAAATTTAACAAGGAAAGTACAAGTGATAATCCTTCATATGATGGTTCAAAGATCGATCTGAATGAGAGAACTGTTACTGAAAAGGTATTTAACATTAGCATGTAAAATTAATATAAACTGTTTATAAAAAAAGTACAGGGCTGTTCAAAATGACTGATCCGATTTAAAAGCATCTTGTTTCTAATATATGTAAAGTCATAATAGAAGAGAAGGAGCAGGAATTTTACTTACGGGCATTCTATGTGACTTTTGCTTAAATGCAATGCAAGGCGAATGTTACAATTATCATGCCACTCTCGCTTCATCATATTTTTATTAATTTCTCCACAGAATCAATTATATATAGTTTTGAAATCATGTATAGCTGTAATCAAAATTCTAAATGATCTAACATGCTTATTGTACCTGCAAAAGGAAACTCTGCATGGCATATGATTCCACTAGTAATGCTATACCAACAATAATGTTATTCGAACAATAATGTATCTCAATAGTCATCTTAAAGTGGATGGCAAAACCTGCAGTGGGATTTTGGGTATATCGTGAAATTTTACGGCTAATAATTTCCTGAATGTTTTGCAATTCAGAACTTATATTAACAGTTAAAAAGAGGATAGAAAACTAGATCTGGATTATTAATACAAATAAAATTTAGGTGTAAAAAGGTAAGCTGTGAACCCTTTCTAAAATGACCACACCAAATTCCATGAGAATTGTCATCTAAACGTCTTTTTGTTCCTTTAAAAAGATGTTATTGCGTACTTATATTTATTTACGTTCTCAGAAAGAATCGCCGCTGCAAAGGTGATTATGTCAGGGCGATTGTCGCTGATTGGGAATTTCACGGTTCACAGTTAGGCTTATATACATTACTATATACATTAGTTTCAAATTCTGATATGTTATCGATACCGTAGCATGGAATGAAGATGTTCTTGCAAGTGGATGACGTTTTGGTACTATACTGTACGTACACAAATTTCCTTCTTTAATGCTGGTCCTTGTAAACTTGTAACAATTTTTTAAACTTATAAATGGACGTTCAGTGCCCACACATTTATGGATAATGACATTTAATGGAATTTAGCCATAAGATGCTTAGACAAATTGTCTTATTTCGTATATCAGATATCTTTAGACTTCTACTAGACCTGAAATTTTTCGGAGAAGTTTAGGGCTGAAAATTTGATTTAAATAAAAAAAAAAACGAAAGTAAAATTATTTTGTATCGTAATTTTGCTTAAAGTATGTGGAAGGAAATATTAAATTTATTTAAATATGGAAAGAAATTTTAAAATTACAATACAAATTACAAAAGAATTAAAAAAACTCTGAAATTCGGGAATTTATTTGACATTTGCGAAATCTCAGGAGATTCCGTAAATTTGGTGAAAATAATCAAAGAAACTCGCTACGCTAAAGAATTACTAATACACTTATATCATCAAAGACAGCTTTAAATTGTAAAGGTCGTTGAATTCATTGCAACGTTTTAACCTCTTCCTGTGCCAAAGAGACACTCCATTACAAAAGCACGATATACTACCACAATATTTTTGTGACATTCAAAAACTCGAAAACTTTCTTTCTTTGGAACGTATCAATCATTTTGAATAACCCTGTATAAATAACCCTGCCATTTGAATAACCCTTTCATTTTGAATAACCCTGTATGTTTAGTGCCATTTCACTTTAGAAGTTTGTAGAATATTAAACTCTCTTTTCATGATTGTTATGCTATTACATTTTTAGGTGGATACAACAAACTCCCTACAGATACGAACTCTTTCCATAAGTGATGTGAGTGTGTCAATAGCAGTGCCACCTGACAATCAACAAGAAGCTTCTATCTACAAGGGAGTCATTAAAATGATTAGTAATCCAATGTTCCATATGATTAGTTTATCATTGGCCGCATTTGAAATGTTCTTTGATCCGTCCATAACTGTTATCGTGGATTACCTAAACGACAAAGGTCTTGAGGAAGATGTTGCCAAATATTTCATCAGTATGCTATCTTTGTCAGATCTTATAGGAAGACTTTGCTTTGGTTGGGTAACAGACAGGAATTATTTATCATTACCAAAGTTCATGATGCTCATACAAGTCTTACCAGGTATCTGCTTTTTACTCATACCAATCTTTTATTCCTTTGATGCTTTGATGACGCTGATTTTGATTTATGGAATGGCAGCTGGAGCGAATCTTGTTATGTTTCCTATATTAGTTGGCAAATATCTAACATCTGTGCAATCTTTGGCCATCGGTTGTATTTCGTTCCTCAGTGGTATGCTGATTTTTGGTACCCCACCACTTATTGGTAAGGGAACACTTACGTCATATTTCAAATTTAAATGTAATGTGTAGATGTTAGGACAGCAACATATAATGTTACCTGCATTAAAAATGCTTCTTAAATTAAAATTACACACTTTATTTTCCATGTAATGAACATTTTGTTTTCTTAAAAAAATCAGATAGAAAGGTTTTAAACACACAAAAGAGCAGTTTTGAGAATTACAGAACAAAGAATCAGTAGCCAAATATTCTCCCAGTAGAAAACTGAAAGTAGATTTGAATTACCGTATTTGCCGGCGTATAAGACGCCTGGCCTATGAGACACACACCTTTTCTATACACATTTTTGAAGGATAACTCTTTATTACTGATCATTACAGTATTTTAAGTATAAAGTAATAAAAATATGAAGTAATACTTTCTGAAAATACCCAATGTATATGGGAAAGAACACCTTTTAAATTTCTTCGTCAAAACCCAGACACTCATCTCCAGAGCTAAAATGAAGAGTCACTTGAAACCTCTTCTAAATCAGCATCTGAGTCCTCATAAAACACGTTGTCCTGTATACCATACAGTGCATTACTAATGTCACACTTTTTAATGATTTAACCACAGTCTCCCATGAAGCTTTCACAGCATCCCATGAAGCTTTGACCCATTCACAAACTTGCGAAATGCTAGGCCTCTTCCTTCTTCCTGATGGTGTAACCTCAAAATTTGAAGGCTGAATCCAGCTGTTCCACTTCTCCTTCATAAAGCTCTTAAATGCTTTATGGTTAAATGGTTAAAATTCTACATAACTGTAATATTCCCACACTTCGCAAGGAAACAAGTAAAAAATCGAGTAACTCCGAATAAACTGAGCATCGACATATAAGACGCATTCCGTTTTTCAGACCTTTTTTCAAAAAAAAAAAAAAAAAGTGCTTCTTATACGCCGGCAAAAAAGGTAATTAATTGGAAATGAATTATACTTCTAACTACCAATTAATTATGAACACCTCGAGTTACTGAGGGCTGATTTTTCCTTCCCTGACCATTTAAGGTGTTTTAATTATCACTGAAAATAAGATTTCTCTTCTTCCCTTTTTTAATGGAATTAGAAATATACACTTCATACACTTAAGTGTACTACAAAATAACAAAAATCCAGTTTCATAGCAGGTATTTTATAAATGAGTGTACATACTGAGAATTATTACACCAAGTGAGTCAAAAGTCGCGTGTTTAAAACTTGCAAAAGTTGTACAAATTCCAAAATGGATATTAATGGCAAATTGTTTAAGCAAATGACACTCTTGTTGCAAATAATATATCACTTGAAATTTCAGTTGCAGTTTATAGTGTGAATGTTAAGAAACGTTTGTGCGATTCAAGATAATGTTTCTTCAATCTGACTGAATTTTTATAACTGAGGAATACCTCGCAAAGCAAACCTTTCAGTGTGATGGCATCGTTCTCTTAATCTTTGTTGGAGATAGCAACATATTATTCCAGACTGCATCCATTTTGTCCGTACTCAGGAAAAACGGGTGGCCATTTTACTCTTCTAATTTCTTGAAATTAGGTTACAGAGCGGAAATTTATTGCCTTATTAGTTTCAAGTATACTTTGGAAGATCTCTTTATCCGCTTTAATAACGTTTCTGTAAAAATGTGTTGCGAATTAACGCTCAGTCATACATATTAATTCAGCTTTGGGAAAATTTCTCTTCATCTTGTACTAAACAGTCGATTTTTAAAAGCCAACAGCATAAACTGCAACTGAAATTTAAAATGATGCATTATTTGTGATAATATACGAATATCATTCATTAAAACAATCTGTCATCAATATCCGTTACAGAATTTCCATTATCTTTGAAAATTTGATGTGCGTTACTATTGAATAAACCAGTATTAAGATATATACTGGCTTGCGTTGTTTCAGTAACGAATATCAGTTAAAGTGAGAGTTCGTAAACTTTAAGAACAGTGTATTTTAATGAGTTTTCAAGGTATCATAATTTACTTTAGGATAGAAATATATAAATTACCAATTTTTATAACTAAAAAAAAATATTACTATATAGAGTTTTTAACTGCAGTTACGATTACAAGAGCGATCTTCATCGGTAAAAAAAATCCTCATAATTAATAGAATATAAAATACCTCATAATTAATGACGCAAACATGTTCATTGCTGAGCATTGGATATAGAACGAACTAAGATGCTTGAAGCGCAGAAACAGCATTTCTGTAGGAACCATTGCCTCAAGCTGTCTCATAGCATCCTTTCACACTGCAAGTGATACTAAATGATCTCTGTAAATATCCTGGTTTGGGTACCGCCCATTATAATATGAGGAGATCTGTGGGACGATACCTTCTGAAACTGATGGTGTATTATTTTATTTGACGCAAATTCGGAGTGCAAGAAAGAGGCACTATGGATTGATGCCCCATTTTGCATGAGTAATATAATGTTGTGTAAATGTTGTTGTAATAATAATGTTGTGTAAATTTTAAAAAATCATTGCTTTTTCAAATTACAAACGAGTAAAAAAATATTAGCCTCATAATTGATAGCATTTCATATGCCACATGAAACAGTTATTGATATTACTGTCTGCTTTAAAACAATACGTTTCATTTATATCTGATAGAAAAATTCAATTAAAATATAATTATTTTCTGTTATGTATTATATTACGATATTTTATGTACCTATATTGCTTTAATAACTTGAAGTTTCTTTTAAATTCACAGGTTATTTCAGGGATAACTTAGGTTCTTATGATGGTTTGTTCTACGTAACTGGAGGGATCTCTGTGGTTGTTGGTCTCATGTGGTTATTAGAACCTTTGTTTCTAAAGATAAACTTCAGGCTTAGAAAACCTGGCCACAGTGTTTCAGTGGTTATTACTCCTTAGGAATATCAAAAGAAGCTTCTCGGTTGCTTGATGAAGATAGCCGATCATGCGAAATCCAAGCAGCCATAGAAAACTATCCAATTAAGATCAGTTGCATTACATCCAATGATTCATCAAAGAAAAACAAGATTTACTCAACATTTTTTACTCAGACTTTATACAATTTACTACACGTTCAAGATTCCTATTTATATTTTAAATACGCCTTAACAAACAAATAACCTTTCGCCTTATTTAAGCTTCTTATAAAAACTGAGATTGTTGCGGAACAGTAATTCCTGATTGAAATATGGTAATATATGCATAAAAGTAATATCAGAACTAAAATACGAGTTACAGTAAACACCTCTATATTAATTTTTGTAGCTTTGCAGAAAATATTGGGAAAATCAACAGCTATCCGACACTAATTTTTAAATTAATAAAACCAGTCGTAATATTTCAATTCAAGTTTTGCCATTTCAGCTACAAGGTGGGTTTTTTTTTTTTTTTTTTTTTTTTTTTTTTTTTTTTTTTAAATTACAAAAACATAACCTTTTTCTACCAGCAATACGTATATGATATTAACTAGGAATTTAGAATTAACAATGAATTAAAAGTAAAACAAATACCTTCAATAAATGTTACAATCTATATCAACGAAAAACTGATAAACTGATTTGCAATTTATTTTAGAAGTACTGTGAACGCTCTCTAAGAGACAAGCCGCAATTCGAAACGAATTTGATCTTTATTAGATATGGTCGCCTAGCAAATGTGACATTGAAATCCTATTTTTATTTATGTTCCAAGAAATAATAGTGACTTTCGGTTATGTTTAAGAGGAGTAAGCTATTAACACTTGTTTGTATAATTTAGCTTACAGAAATGAAATAAGATAATAATTTAGATAGTTATTGAAAATAAAATGAAGTAGTTCTGTAAACGAGAAACGCAGCTTCAAAATAGATTAGGAGCTGTAACCAAAACGAAATCTCGTAATCAGCATAAAAGAGAAAGTTATAAATTATTCATGATTTTTATGTAAGATTTTAACATTTAATTTCGGAAGAATATTCAGAAAGTAAGGAATTAAAATAGCCGCCTGATTTTAAATTAATGGTAAATTAGTTCTGATCATTCCAGTAACTTTTATTATGCAACTACTTCTGTAAGTTAAAGGAAGATTTATTATTGTTTCAACTCTCCTGATCTGAACCAGATCATATCCACAACTCTTATTGGGCCAAGAAACACGAGATGCACCTAACGTTGGCTTATCCTGGGCACCTTATCAGTGGCTGTATAAATTTGCACAGATCCGTTTCAGTTTTGAAGGATAAGTCTCCGGAGGAGGGATCCAAGAATAAAAAGCTCTAAGACTTTTTTTTTACCCAATAGCTCTCGAGAGAACTTTCGGTTCGATATTATTTTAAGTGCTACCCAACTACAAAGACACTGCATTTACAAATATCAATAGCCTTTCTTTAAAACTCGAAGCTGGCCTAAGGCGAATTCCCTGCCTCCATGATAATACAGTGCGCAAAATGTTTAATTTATTTGATTATAAGTAAAGACAGTACAGTCAAACTTTTAGAAGTAGATTTATTTTCGAAGGTAATAAAGTAAGCCTTTATAATAGTTTGTTCATAATAATACAGATAGCCTTCTATTGATAGCTTGACCTCTAAAAGAAACCAGCAGCAAAAATAAATATCATTGTTAATTGTTTGAGTTGGTTATATCTAATAAAGATTAACGTGTCGGGAGTTGCGGATGATCGTGTTAGAGAAGATTCACTTAATTAACGAGTATTCCTTCGAATAAGAGAGGGTAAATATATTAAATGCAAAGTAGAAATTAAAATACCTTTCTTTAGACGTGACTTTAAGGAAGAAATTGAATGAGTGAATGCGATGCTGTTTACAAAAGTATTATAACGAAGGGTAAACGTTCCGCAGTACTCTCAGATATTAAATTTTAGAATATTTCTGAATGCTAGAAATTCTCTATATATTATACAAATATTATCATTAACAGTTTAATGTAGTCATATGGTGCAAATGTATTATATTAATACATTCCTGCATTCAATTTAAGTAAGATGTGAAATATCAGAAATAAAAGTCATAACTAATGACATTGTTTTATAACTTTCATTGTAAACATGAAGATTTTCAATATGTAAATCGATATTTTGTTGCTGTAAAAATGCTATTAAAACAATATATCTGAAAACATAATTTTATTTTTTGGTTTCATATTTACAAAATATCTGTTTTGAAGGCTAACGTATTATTTATACAGCTATTTTCTTACTTTTATCCTAATTAGGAAATAAACACTTAAAAATATTGTCATTATTAAATTCGAGAATGAAAGTTCTTTAAGTTGATAATTATCAGTAGTTAAATGAAAAAAGATAACTTAAATAGTGCTTCTTTTATGTCGGATATTTCACTTGTGGAGTTTGGTACAGATTTAACACAGAGTTATCACAGAAACACTTCCCCGCCATATGAACCCCTAGCGCCGTATCCGCTCAACCAAGGGAAATGAAATTTCAGATATTGTTATTTGAAGGTATTTGCTCGAGAACGTAGTGATTTAAAACAAAAGAGCACTCACAGTTACTGTTGGTGGAAAAATGTCTAAATTTTCGAATGGCAACACCCACTTTTTCCCCGAGTAAACTGATCAGCGCATTGGAAAACCATACATTAAAACGATGCACGTATGACTAAAATTACCGGCCTAAAATATATGCAAAACATTTTCATTGTAAAGGACCAGTACAACATAAGAGAGGAGACGGAAAAAAAGCTTTTATTGGAATTATAATTTTTCAATGTCTACAACGTTTCAAGATAGCGTCCTTTCTCATAACTTTAGTTTCGTGGCCATTGGCCATTTTCTGGTTCTGGGGTTAATTGAAATCTAAGGTGTACATATCAAATTCACGAGATTTGTCAGAATTTGAAAGATGCTATAAAACATGAAATTATACAGATTCCTCCCGTGATGTTACGTTTGTCATTGTTGTCAACAATCTCCCGCATGCAATGAGTTATTATCTCCGAATTTTGGGAAATTCAAAACTCCCAAATCCAATTTGTTTCCCCTCTCCTTTCCTGTGTTGTCGTTTACAATCCTCTTCTTTGTAAATGTTTTACGCCGGCAATTTTTTTCCATGCGGATATCGTTCTAGCGTTATTTATAGTTTTCCAGTGGCCTGATCAATTCTCGCAGGAAAAAAAAAAAGGTGTTACCATTCGAAAATTTCGAAACGTTTTCACTATAGTCTTAACCGTGAGAGCTCTACTGTTTAAAATCATTTCAATCTTGAGCGCATACATTCAAAAAAGTATATCTGAAGTTTCATTTTGATTGGTTGAGCGGATACGCCGCCAGGCGTTCATATACGGGGAAATTTTCCTATGACCACCCTGTAGCTAAAGTGCATGAATATATCGTGGCATACTTTAAAAGATACCTAAGTTCCTAGAAAAGAACAAATATCGACAATAGATTTTTCTTTTTTAGAGACGTGTGATAATCTGGTGCTTTGTCTTTGCCGATAAGTCTTTCTGGTGTTACGCAATTTCAATTCCACGATGATGTTTTTTTTATTGCTATATTATGTGCGATATACAGAGAAATCTTATTAACTATCGTTTGTTTGAGATAATACAAAGTTAAACAAAAAGGATATACAAGCAAAACAAACAAAAAGGAAATACAAAGTTAAACAAAAACAAAAAGGACCATGGTCTTACACTATTTACAATTATTAACATTATGTACTATGGCCATAGTAATGAGCTAACCTGTCGTAATGAACGACTTTAGGTTTAGAGTTCGAAGACTTACGAATCCGAATCACGACGTCATTCAGCCTGTTTAGGACTGTGTACGGGCCATCCCATGGTGACTGTAATTTCGGACAAAGTCCTTTCCGTCGAGTCGGATTCCACAACCACACCTTGTCTCCTTCGTGGAATTGATGTTCAGTAGCTCTTGTGTCGTATCGGATCTTGATCTTCTCCGTCGCCAAGTTGACTCGCTCTCGTGAAAAAGTTGTGCATCACTTCAAACCGGGCCTGGAGATCTTGAATATATTCATCAGACGATGAAGGAGCATCCGGAGGGCGGCCAAACAATAGATCGCAAGGCAGACGAAGATCACGACCGAAGAGCATTTGTGATGGAGAATAGCCGGTAGTCTCGTGGACAGCACTGCGGTAAGCCAGTAAAAAGAGTGGTAATTTCTTATTCCAGTCCTGTTGGTTTCTGGAAACCACTAATGAGAGGTTATTAAGGATGGTTCGATTGAACCTCTCTACCATACCGTCCGACTGGGGATGCAATGGCGTCGTTTGAGTTTTGTCAATGCCGAGTAGTTTGTATAGTTCTTTGATTACTGCCGAGGCAAAATTCCTTCCCTGATCGGAATGTAACTGAAGCGGCACTCCGAACCTGGAAATCCAGTGCTGTATCATTACCTAAGCTACTGTGACAGCCTCTTGATCAGGAACAGGGTACGCTTCAGGCCACTTGGTGAAGTAATCAATGACAACGAGTATGTATTTGTTGCCATCAGCAGTTCGTGGCAGAGGTCCCAAGATGTCAAAGGCGATACGTTCAAAAGGCGCCCCAACGTTGTAACGTTGCAGCTTGCCTCGGCTGCGTCTCTTCGGTCCTTTCCGACCTGCACAGGCATCGCAGGATCGGCACCACTTTTGCACGTCATCCTTTGCATTATTCCAGTAAAAGCGCTCACGAACTCTCTGTAAGGTCTTCATTATTCCAAAGTGACCTCCCGTAGGGCTGTTATGTAGTTCTTGAAGGACATCAGGAATGCGGGATCTTGGAAGTATCAGCTGCCATCGGAACGTCTTCCCATCATCCGATTCGAATTTCCGGTTTAAGACGCCGTTTCGAATGTGAAGTGAATCCCAGAGTATCCAATACTGTTTGATTGTAGGACTACAGATAGAAATGTCCTGCCAGGTAGGTTTTCT